GGAAGGAGGGAGAGAGAGAGAGGGGGAGGGAGAGAGAGAGGGAGGGAGCGAGAGAGGGGAAGGGAGGAATGGAGGGAGAGAGGAGGGAGAATGGAAGAAGAGAGAAAGGAAGGGAGGAAATGGAGGGAGAGAAAGAGAGGGGGAGGGAGGAAGGGAGTGGGATCTAATAAATAAAATCTTAAGAGAGAGAGATTGAGAATAGAATGGAATTGGCGACGCAGCGCAGTAGCGGAGACTGGAAAATGCCTTTTAGATTTTTACCTCCGGAAAGATTGAGTGTAAGAGGGGGGTAGAAGAGGGAAGGGAGGGGCGGGGGGGGGGGTAGGCGGTTCTGATGGAGTTGTGGCTTTTGACATAAACTCTCACACGCCTGGAGGCTGGACGTGCTTCCCGGATCGGCTGTGTGTGTGTGTGTGTGTGTGTGTGTGTGTGTGTGTGTGTGTGTGTGTATGTATGTAGCATCTATATATGTATGTAGTACGTATGTATGTATATAAGTTTATCCATATATGTATGTATGTATGTATGCGCATATGTACGTGTGCGTGTGTGATCCGACCCGAGTACCGAGATGAAGACATAATAACAGCCGATGCAAAGACACAGTCACGGTTCCCGCCACGAAGATCCATAAAACAAAATTAGCGAAGACGCCCCACGCCCATGAAGACGGGGTGTTTGTTTGCGCAATGAAGGCTTAAGGAATAATGAAGACGTTTTAACGGCAGGTGATGGGTGAGGGATGCGATGGCGTGGCGTCCCTCCGTTCGTCTCTCCCTCGCTTAACTTTCTCTCTCCGTGTCTCGCTTTTCTTTTCTTCTTTTTTTCTTTCTTTCTTTTCTCTCTCCGTGTCTTGCTTTTCTTCTTTTTTCTTTTTTTTTCTCTCCATTTCTTGCTTTTCCTTTTTTTTCTCTCTCTCCATGTCTTGCTTTTCTTTCTTTTTCTCTTTCTCTCTCCATTTCTTGCTTTTCCTTTTTTTTTCTTTTTTTTTCTTGCTTTTCTTTTTTCTTCTTTTTTCTCTTTCTCTCTCTCCGTGTCTTGCCTTTCTTCTTTTTCTCTTTCTCTCTCCATGTCGCGCTTTTCTTTTTTCTTTCCCTTCTCTTCTCTCTCCCTTCGCTCTCTCTCTCTTTTCTGATCTCCCTCTCTCTTCTTCTTTTATCTCTTCCCTTTCTTCTCCTCTGCCATTTTCTTTATCTCCTCTTCTCTCTCCCTCTCTGCTTCTCGCTCTTTTTTTCTCTCCCTCCTTTCTCTCCTTCTCCTACTTCCTTGCTTCGTTATCTAAGTTTCTCTTTAAGCTAATTTCATTGCTTTTAAAACTTTCCTTAATTCGATTTTCCTTTTTCATACGATTCCCTCTCTCTCTGTTTTTTTTTTTTCTTTTCTTCCCTTTTATTCCATTCTTTCTCCATGCTGAAAATACGGAGGGACTGAAGGATAGATGGTGGGGGTGAGTGATAGATGGGGGGAGTTGGGAGTTAGAGGGGAGGGGAAGAGAGGGAAGTGGGGTTGGAGGAAGGGGAAGTGTAGGGAAGTAGTGGGGGAATTTGGGGAGGGAAAGAATAGGGAAGAGATGGGGTAGGGGAAGAAGAGGAAAGTTGATGGGGGATTAGATGAAGGGTTTAGAGAAGAGAATTGAAGAAGAGGGACGTGGGGTATAGGGGATAAAAAATGATAGGTAAAAGCAAGGGGAAATTGTGGGTACGCGACTCGACTTTTGACATCACCCCCTCCCCCTCCCCTCCCCTCCCTTCCCTTCCCCTTCCTTCCCTTCCCTTCCCTTCCCTTCTCCCTCCCTCCCTCCCTCCCTCCACTCATCGTTTAACATTACGAGGCTAATCAGCGCTCAGCATAGCGCGGCTCCTCCTCGGGCGACGCGTGGAGAGGAGCTGCCTTTTCGCGGGGAGAGCAATTTGCGGGAAATGCGGAGAGAGAGAGAGGGAGGGAGGGCGTGGAGAGGGGTAAGAGGGGAGGGGAGGAGGGGATAGAGAGGGAGAGGGAGGGGGGGAGGGAGAGGGGATAGAAAGGGAGAGAGAGGGAGAAAGCGAGAGAGAGAGTGAATGAGTGAGTGAGTGAGTGAGTGAGTGAGTGAGTGAGTGAGCGAGAGAGAGAGAGTGAGAGATAGATGGAGAGAGAGATAGAGCGTGAGAGATAGAGAGAGCTGTGGCAATATACGACCAATAGCGATTGCCATTACTTGTGGGAATAATGGGCTGTTTACTCTAATGGGCATCTAAACACAGGGTCTGTTGCCATCAAATAATACGATAACATATTAAGTGACAACATATGCTACCAAACCTCATGATGTGCCAAGTGATACGCAAGTGTCCTCTAAGTCACGGTGGAATGAACAAAGTTACAAGTTTATAATGCTCTTTTTTTTAGCTGGTACTATCTCATAAATGTCATTTTTAATGAGATTTGATTTGATTGTTAGCCGTTCAAAATTGGCCAAAATTTAGATTTGATTTTTAACGATTTTTAAGTATTTGTTATTGTCTTCTCCTGTGATTACCATCTCCGTAACCCGCGCCCCAGAATGCAATTGTCTCGTCACTCATCCGAAGCACTGAACAGGTGGTTCGCCAATTGCTTCATTCCGCGAGCCAAGTGCCCCGATTTCAGCCCCCGATGAAAAGGGAACCGCCCCTTGTCGGTGATGATGGAGACGTACACACTCTCATCGACGTCCTCACGGTACTTCTGAACCGCCCGAGGCAAAGTTCACACCCGCGCGCCGCCTCCCCGATCAGACTCACGGGCGTCGGGTTTCCTTCGAGTCATCGCCGGTTCCCTCGGGCAGCGTCACCGGTCAGCCATTTGCGGGGATGAAGACATTATCATTAAAGGCTTGACAGGTAAATGGTCATATTCAGACTAATGAAGCGAGAGGGAGGAGGGGGGAGGGGGGGGTAGAAGCAGGCCGAGGTACGTGGAGGGAGAGACAATGCGGGGCGCGAGAGGGGGCGCGAGAGGGGGCCGTCCGGAGAGAAACGGGTGGCAGTGCCTCTTCCTGCTACTCATTGGGTTGGTTGAGGGCGGGCGAAGGGAGGGGGAGGGGGAGGGAAGGGCAATTAAAGTTTTCTTGGCTCCTCTTTATTCGTTTTTTCTACTTCTTCCCATATCTTCGGCTTCTCCTCTCTCCTTCTTCTTTTTCTTCTTCTCCTCCTCCTCATTTTTCTTCTTCTTTTCCTTCCTCTCCTCCTCCCACCACCTCCTCCTCCTCCCTCCTCCTCCTGCTACTCCTCCCTCCCTCCTCCTCCTTCCTCCTCCTCCTCCCCTCCTCCCCTCCTCCACCTCCCCCCTCCCCCGAGGTATGTCTTGAGTGGCTTCATTGTTCGGAGGGAAAATTAGTTGCTTTTGTTTTTATTTGGATGTTTTTATTTAATCACTAATCTCTTCGGGGTTTCGATGACCAGCAATTCCTCTCGCACGGGAAGGAATTTGAGGAGATGGCTTTCTCTCCCTCAGCCGTTGGTGGTTCGTCTCTGCTTGGTGTGATTTGGACTTCGCTTCTCTTCGTTTCTTCTTCTGTTTTTCGTCATTTCACGTCATTAGGTTGATGTACATATCTCATTCCTATTCGTCTTTCCTCTTGTTTTCATTATTTTTGATTTTAGCAGTCTGTTCTCTCTCTCTCTCTCTCTCTCTTCTCTGTGTGTGTGTGTGTGTGTGTGTGTGTGTGTGTGTGTGTGTGTGTGTTCCCCTTCGTACATTTATTTTACTGTTTATTTTTATTATTGATTATTGATTTATTATTTTTTTAGAAAGTACCTCTCCCTCTCTCCTTGCCCCAGTCCTCCCTCCCCCCCTGCCTCTGACACGCTGCCTTGGCCCCGCCCACCATGGGTATAATGATGGGTAGATGACTTACCTTATGGATGGTCCCTCGGCTCTGTCTCCCACGCCCCCCCCCTCCCCCTCTCTCATGTCGAGGGCCAGCGGGGGGAAGCTACAGAGGCTGTGGTGGGGAAAAGACGGAGGGAAAGGAGAGGGGAGAGAAGGAGGAGAGGGAGAGGGGGAAGGGGAATGGAGGTGGAGGGTGAGGAGAATGGAAAATGGAGGGGAAGGGGAAGGGAATGGAAGATGGAGGGAGGGGGGAGAGGAGAATGGAAGATGGAGGGAGAGGGAGAGAGGGAATGGAAGGAGGAGGGAGAAGGGGTGGAAGGTAAGAGTGGGTGGGGAAGGAGATGGGAAGGTGGAAGGAGTGAGAAAGAAAGGAGAAAGCGAAGGAAATGAAAATAGGGAGAGATTGGGAGATAAATATGGAGAGGAGGAAAGGTGGAGAAACGAGGACATAGAGGGAAAGAGAGAAGATTGAGCTATAATATTTTCATGCATATAAAAATTTTGGGAACTGATGAATCCACTTAAATAATTCCTGTGTAAATTTTGCAGTTTGAAAATACTTGAAATTTTGTGTGTGGGAAATGAATAGAGAGAGAGAGAGAAAGAGAAAGAGGAGAGGGAGAGGGAGAATGAGAGAGAGAATGAGAATGAGAGGAGAGAATGAGAATGAGAGAATGAGAATGAGGGAGAGAATGAGAATGAGAGAGAGAATGAGAGAGAAAATGAGAATGAGAGTGAGAATGAGAGATGAGAGGAGAGAATGAGAATGAGAGAGAGAGAGAATGAGAGAGAGAGAGAATGAGAGAGAGAGAGAGAGAGAGAGAGTACTGCCAGTGTTTTGGCCATATAAGCCATAGTCCAAAACCCAGGCAATTTCTCCTCTTTTCTGTCAGTTAATGATTTTAAATGTTGGCTGAACCAACCTCGCAGAGCCTTCAGGCTTTACTATATCCTCTATTTTTCCAAGCGCTTAATTCTCTCTCTCCTCTCCCTCTCCCTCTCCCTCCCTCTCCCCTCCCTCCCTCCCCCTCTCCCTCCCCCTCCCCCTCTCCCTCTCCCTCTCCCTCTCCCTCTCCCTCCCCCTCTCTCTCTCTCTGTATTCATCTTGGTTCTCGAAACGTTTCCTCAACGGCAAATTTCTTCCTCGGCAGCAACATCGGTTCCGTCGGATCGTGACCTACACGGGGGAGGTGAGCAAGGGGAGGTTCGGCCTCTCCGTCACCGCCCTCGGGGACATCAACAAAGATGGCTTCCAAGGTAAGTTCTGTTGTTATTTAGTCCATTTAGTTGGTGTTATTGTGTAAATTTGCGTCGCTATTGAGTTCTTGATTTTTCATTTATCTATGTATTTATTTTTGAGAAGGGAAATTTGCTCTCTCGTTTATCCGTCTCTGACAAGGACGTACTCTGAAAACCGAGATAGGAAACTCGCTAACGAGCAGAAAGAAAGGGACCAATCGCTTAGCCATAATCTCTAGCGCAGAAAAGACGAAAGACACGAAGACACATACACACATACACACACGGACACATACACACGCACTCATACACACACGCACTCGTACACACACGCACTCGTACACACACGTACGCACTCGTACACACACGCACTCGTACACACACGCACTCGTACACACACACGCACACACCACACACACACACACACACACACACACACACACACACACACACACACACACACACACACACACACACACACATACACATACATACATACACGCATACACATACACATGCACATACATACACATACACACACAGAGACAGGCACACACAGAGAAAGACACAGACACACACAATGACAGAGACAGACACAGACACACAATGACAGAGACAGACACACACAACACACACACACACACACACACACACACACACACACACACACACACACACACTCTCTCTCTCTCTCTCTCTCTCTCGGAACCCGCTGCAGTTCCATGGTCTTGCGAGGGATCAAGAAAGGGAACGGCTTCTTGCAGGATTACTCAAGACTTGCGACGCTTACTCATCCTGACTCAGAGGAACAACTCATCGATCATGCTTGAGTTCGAGCGCTGTGGGTGATCTCGATTGGGGGGAGGGGGAGGGGGGTGTCTTCTGATGCCAGCTGACCACGGCTAGACAGCTGGTGGCATCGGGGCCTCCTTGTGACTGATGGTGGCAGCTGGTGCAGTTCGTAAGCTAGGGAATTATGAGCTATGATGGAATAGCTAATTACTACTTTTTTTCTCTCTCTTTTCTCCTTTTCCTTTGAATTCTTGGGAGACTATTGCAATTCGCTTTTATTCCCGCAGTCGAAAAGGAAAAAGAACTCGACTCGCGCTGGGAAGAAAAAAGCTNGTGGTCGGAGTAGCATTGATAGTAGTAACAGTAATAGTAGCAGTAGCAGTAGTAGTATAGTAATAGTGGCAATAGAAGTAGTAGTCGTAGAAGCACCATTAACAGTAGTAGCAGTAGCAAAAGCAATAACAGTGGAAGTAGTAACAGCAGCAGCAGGCGGAACAGAAGTAGTGGTAGTAGTAGTTCTCACCGCCATCTTGTCTATCCACTGGCTTTATATGACTACATTATATCACTGACAGCCCCATGCAGTAAAACTGATTAGAATTTATAATGTACAAGATAAAAATCTTATTGTATGTTTTTTAACGCCCTCCCATTTTTCATGGTATATAAAGTACAATAATTTATGCAAGAACATCCGACCGGCTACAAGAGAAAGGATATCAACATAATAATTAATCATACACACTTCTACCGTTACTTGTTATGACTAATATATATATATATATATTATATATATATATATATATATATATATATATATATATATATATATATATATATAACACCCACACATCCACATCCACATCATTAGTATTGCTATCATATTAATCATACTCGATTTTAGTGTAAAATAGCGTTCAACTAAAATACTGTATTATGGATTTCATTTAATTCACTAATTAGTCTCTCAAGGTTACGGTCATACCTCTGCGGCTTCCAGTAATTTTATATATCCTAACATCTGCAGTAGGATTCCTAGATTTATATCTATACAATATAGGTGATCTATATTATAATTTTGATGATTCAAAACGCTTAAAAATCTATCAATAAATGTCTCTCCTAAAGAAAATAGATAACAATGGATATATTAAAATCCAAGCCTAAATATTATGTTAAAACTATAAATTATTGCATATTTGTTATGAATAAATTTTGTTTGAAATATTTGTCTCCCTTAGAATATTAGGCTCTCACTTTATCAAGTATAATTTCCCATTCTTTCGTACAGTTTATTGTTCATGGATTTATTTAATTATTTAATATAATTTTTTACACTTACTGTCAGATTCCTTAATTTAATTTCAATCAAACTTTATCAACCTTTGTCAGTTCGCACAGTTGCTTGCTCTGGAAATCTTAAATTTGAACCTCCGTCAGTCATTTTGTCTGTTGTTTTCATTACCATGTTAGAGCATTTCCTTTCATTTGTCTTCTTGGCATTCCAATCCTGCCTGTTGCTGCATATCGAATACCGTTTCCTTCCCCTCTCCTATTCCGCTCTCTTCCTCTGCAGTTCTTCAATCTCTTGTTCCGATTACATATGTACTTGCGTCAGTTGTTCTCTCCACTTTATTTTCTGGCCAGTCTGGGGTTATCTCTGCCTCTGCTTCGCTCTTTGCTTGGCTTCTCTCTCCTTCCTCTTTATAAATGATTAGCACCGACTCAAAGCTCTCTCAGCCAGTCTATCTTTTTTCACCGGTTCATGCTTCAGCTTCGTTCTATTTCCGCTGCTCGCCGCCCTCTCCCTTGCTCTCTCTGGATGTGCATGTTCCCGTTCTCCATTGGGCAGAAGTGAGAGAAAAGGAAGGTTTCCATGTAAACATTTAACAAAGAGGTAAACGATATACAATAAGAAAAATTATTTATTTATTTATTTTTAACAATCTTTATTACATCCGTTTTCGTTAAGAAAAAAAAATCTTACTGTTTTATATACAGCTTTTGCGCATCCAGAACGCACACATTGGGGTTACTGCAAACGATAGGTTTAGTTTCTTTGAAGAATCATTATTATTATTCTTAAGTATATTTAATAGGTATCAGAGGATGTTTTTTATTCCTCCTTGAAAACTATTCAGAAAAAGAGCAAGTTTGAATCATTTTTTCACATTGCTCTGCCTTTGTATTCTCCAAACGACGACCGATGCAATTTCGCACAAAACACAGAGAATAAAAAAAAAAAAAAAAAAAAAAAAAAAAAAAGTCAATGGAAGCGATAAACGGAACCGAGCACTAGCACTTGTTAGGATCAATTCCTTAGTGGTGTCTGTCACATGTCAAATGGAGATAAAAGGTCAACAAGCTCTTTTATAATACTGAACAGTATAGTTAACAATGTGCTGATAAATTCCTATCATGGAAATGATGCACGATGAAAGAAGGCAAACTTTAATGCTGCATTTGGAGGTTGCTCGTTCCTGTTATAAGGTAACAGTCTGCAGTACTGCGTATAAGCCATTTCCGTTGAAACAATATAACCTATAGAAATATTCACAGAATTTTACCTCATTATTATTCCAGATTACATTTTCTATTTATAAATCACAGGAAATGTGCACAGAAATCATTGCTCGTGGTTTTAGCCATAACCACACTAGGAAACTTTAATTATCAAGGAATTAGTTATGTCTTTGTTGCAAAGTCTGTATCATTTGTTAGAAAGTCTCTATATACTTTCAGCATTTGACTCTTTATTCTGTGTTCCATGTTGTTTTGATTGAATGATAAAGTGTGGAGTGAAATAATGAAAATGAGACTGTACAATAATTCTAAACACAATAATTGCCAATCCGTTCTCTGGTAGATATTAAGGCTCCTCCTTTGCATTCAAGAACCTCATAGACAGCGATAAAGATGAAATGAATGAATCTATTAGTTACTATTAACAAAAACGATTATGTATTATCCGCAACGTATTCTGTATTCCTTAATTAGGTCTGTTTACATTTTACCGCATCGATTTGAAAAAAAAAAAAAAAAAAAATACCGGTACAGTTCTTCCTTCGCTTATTACGTTCCCATTGCTTACCTCTGCCCTTTAACATTGCCGTTTGCACGTGGATTATCATTCTGAACTTGCTTTGTCCTTAAAATCCCAGGTATTTCCATTTTCTTCTGAGCTTATTCCCTTCTGCTTTCTTCGCCGTCTCTCCCGTCTTGGTTCTTATTTTGCATTCCCTTTCCTCTCCCCTTTCTGCTTCTTAATTATTCTCCTCTCTTTTTCAGTTCAAGGATTCGAAAACCACACCCCTGGTTATATGAAAACGTATGTTCTTTTGACCGTGGCTTTCTCATAATCGCTTTATATTCTTCTGGAGTTTTTCTTTCTCTCTTTCGTTCTCCATTTCACTTTTCACAAATCGCTGAGTATAACCTAAAGGCATAAACTCCCAGTCTCTGTTAATTTGCATATAGTTTTATTTTTGTCTTTCTCTCTCTCTCTCTCTCTCTCTCTCTCTCTCTCTCTCTCTCTCTCTCTCTCTCTCTCTATATATTATATATATATATATATATATATATATATATATATATATATATATATATATATATATATATATATATATATATATATCATTTTTTTCTTTCTTGGTGGATAGTTTTCCTGTCTTATCAAAATTGAAAGGAAATAGGATGATTAAAAATATCTGTTCAGACCAATGATACGCATCGTAAGCTACATGAAGAAGTAGTGTTAGGCCATGGTAGTTTATCTTTTCTGGATAATTCTGAAATCGATTTAACAATATGATTTATATTGAGCTTTCTCACCTTTTCGTGAATGAATCTATATGTTCGCTAAATCTCATTCTATTAATTTTTCCTATTTCTTTCATAGAGAGTGAGAAAGAGAAAGGAGGGAGAGAGAGAGAGAGAGAGAGAGAGAGGAGGAGAGAGGAGAGAGGAGAGAGGAGAGAGGAGAGAGGAGAGAGAGAGGAGGAGAGAGAGAGAGAGAGAGAGAGAGAGAGAGAGAGAGAGAGAGAGAGAGAGAGAGAGAGAGAGAGAGAGAGAGAGAGAGAGAGAGAGAGAGAGACAGTCATCCAAGAGGCAATTTACTCTTAGGAAGGCAAGAATTTACATAATAAAGGCCAATGCGATAACACACCAGTTCTCCATACCCGGAATCTGGTTAAAGTTATGCTATTTACAGCAGCTTGTACTTGTGTACGCTTTGGGGTAGCCAGTGAGTGTATTCTTTCCAGCCATCATCCACCTCTGAGTTGCCATTTTTACGTATTTTGTTGCAAGAGCTGACGACTTTTTTGTGGGCTCTTTCTGTTAGGCTACTCTTTTAGAGTAATTGAGGTGGGCAATTTGGTTTATTTTACAGTCAATTTGGATAGTATTTTTGTTTTCTTCTTTTTGTGTAGATATCTAATGGTAGAGAAGGTGAAACATAAACCTTAGGTCTTTTTTTTTTTTTTTTTTTTTTTTTTTTTTTTTTTTTTTGCATATGGGTGAATTGCAGAAACACATCCCATCAAACATGTAAAGTACTGAGAGTCTCAATCACTGGATTTTTTTCTATTCCCTCAGTTACATTCACTTTTCAGAATCCGAACCGGCTGTATTGTTTTCCTCTCAATCTTAAGAAGTTTTGTATGAAATGTATAATTCTTTAAGGCGGATTCACACCTGGAGCTATGCTACAATACGCACGCAATGCACGCGACTCGAAGCTACATGGCTTTCAATCGCCTCGGTGTATTTTCAATGCATGTGTTCTCATCAGTTAGGAAGCTACCCGCACTATGCTAGCTACATCGCGCACATGGCTTGATCAGTCACCGGGTATGGGATTTTTTTTTTTTTTTTTTTTTTTTTTTTTTTTTTTTTTTTTTTTAACAGCCACGTTAACCCATTGCGGTCCCCGAGTTTTTGGAATCCTCAGGTCCCCTGCCCCCCACCCAGTGAGTTGAGAGCTCGTCGCGGGCCGTGAATGAGTCGCCTTATACTGCAAGTCCTCTTCAAACTGGAAGATAGTCTGAAATTGGTTAAGGTTTTCTTAGACATCTTCCACCTCTTGCATTAAATGATATTGAACAAACTTCGTCTTACCGAAGAGTGGGATAAAATGTGAATGATTAAGAAAGGCAAGCAGAATTCAAGAGAACCAAGGAATCATAGTAAAAAAATAATAATAATAATAAAAAGAATAGATAAATAGATAAATCCTTTCCCCGCCCATCTTTGTCTCTTATTCGGTGTGTGTGTGTGTGTGTGTGTGTGTGTGTGAGAGAGAGAGAGACCGATACCGAGACAAGAAGAGAGAAGAGAGAGAAAGGA